CATCGTCTACTTCATGCTCCATTTACTGCATATGCTGCGAAACATTCACCGACACAGTGAACATACAGTAAGAACACAGCTGGGCTTCTTAAAAGCTTTTCCTGAAATCTGTTTGGACTGACTACACTGTCGTTTCACAATAATTTTGGCCAAAAGTTTTATTTGAAAAGTCGTTCCAGTTCTGATAATCAAACTGCCGTCTTCAGCACAGCAACTGTAGAAATAGACTCTTTAGATTTTACGTCTTTATTTCAACTACTTCAACTCATTTCATTTTCTGGTGTGACCTAAAAAAGAAATTGTATCAAAGATCATTGGTTCTGTGAAGGAAACACGTTGTTTAATCAGCTTACATAAACACCTGTCCAGAACGTCTCTCCGGTTCTCTTCCTAGCAATCTTTCCATTTTCTCCTCATCAGTTTTATTCTCTGGTCATTTTTTCTCCCTCACATCCCTGTCAGTCGTCCCACACACAGGCCAGTGGAGGAGCTCACACGCACACACTTGCACACGAGGTCCGCCCTGGCTCCAATTATCTTCAAACACTTCTCTGGCACACGACCTTCGCAACATCCCCTCCTGATTGCACACAAATGTTGTCCCAACCAAATTAGATTAATTAAAAATATTTGCAAAGCCACAAGAATGTTAAGCCCATAATTTAGTCCTCGGGTGAAATTTATGCGACTTCCAACGCACAGCCAGAACACACACATGCTGACAGACGAAGACGTTCGCAGACCCCGATGGTTTTTTCACCGCCGCCGCGTGTCAGTGGCAGCGCTCAGGTGAAGAGAGCTGCAGAGAGGGGATGGAGTTTGAGTTCAGATTTCTGAAATAATCAACATTGATTTTCAGACCACGGGCTGTTTATATCACAGTCACTGCTTATGTTCAGATCAAACAGCTACGGCCAGAGGATCAAACACTGAGTGGAGCTTTTTATTAATGCAGTGCAGACACTTGCCCTGGAGGAACCATTCAGGAGGAAAACAAGGCTGAAATACCAACGAACACGGCCATTAATCTCCCCCGTCTTCTGCCTCTTTTCTTCTCTCTCTCTCCATTTCATCCCTCCGCCTCCTGCAGGTGAATACTGGCAGAGTGTGAGAGATTCGGCCGACACGCTGGGCCTGTCCTACCTGCAGGCTCAGAGACGGCGGCTGAGACGGGACTCGGACAGCGAAGCTGTGAGTGCCATCGCCTCGCTGTCGATGGGAGTCCTGAGGTCTGATGGGTACAGACGTGTTTAATGGCATCGGCTGTAATAAATTTACACCTCGGCCTTTGTGTGTCAGGTTTCATAACGTCTCTCGTGTGTTTTTTTTTTCTTTCAGGAAACAGCCTGAAAAAAAATGACAATGAAAAAGTGATTCTCTCTGAAGAGTTCAATGGCTGCTGTGCATTTGGAGCAGACATCAGTGGAACCATGTACCCTCCTCTGTTCAACCACTGTATCCATCGCCTCACAAGATCTTCTCCACCTGCTTTACTACTGGTTTTAAGTCTGACAACACACACACACACATATATACGCGCACACATTCACGAGAACAGACCCATTTCTGGACAGTGTTCAAATTCTCTTGAAGTCCCTGAGGAAAACCACGTGCACTGAACATGAGAGGACCTCCAGCAGGACGGCCTGCAGAGGCGGATTAATGAAGAATTGTTTCATCTCGTAGCATACAGCTCTGTGACGTCAAACATTCACCTCATTAAAGCTTCACAGGAGACTTGCATGTTGACCGCTAGGGACGGTTGGAACCTGGACGCCAAGGATCAAAGGTCACCTTGGCTTACAATCACCCAGAGCGGAAAGAGTTGTCTCTGCAGGACGTGCCTGTGAGAGAGACCAGAGCCGTCCTCTCTCGCACACTGACGATGTCATTCATCTGCATCGAACCAGTGGAGACAGAAGAAGCCTCTGACTATTACTGCACTGTAACAGTTGAGTCATAAAAACATGGCTGCAACACTTTATATTCATGCAGAGTAGAATAATAATTGTACCTCATAGTAATTCTCTTAATTTTTAATTTTTTTTAAATTTAGTCAAATAAATTCTTTCAGTTTACAGGTCAACTGTAACATTCACTGTAACAGGAACATCCACCAGAGGCCAGTAGAACAGACCCGTCTCCATCGACATGTTAATGACTGAGAGACAATGGAAACAGATGTGTAGAGATTAGTCCACGATACCAAACGGCACGTTTGATTCCACGCCCCACTGACGTACGTGACGTCTAAAGTAGAAAATTCCGACATCTGTGATGTCCGGAGAGAACTGCAAATGACTGCAATTACCAACGTGTGGCTGTGGTAGACGGTGGTTATGATTTACTTAGAGAGCTGCACCTACTGTACTCTACAGCCCACACTGTTGAAGAGGTCAGGAGCAGGTCAGCTGCAGACCAGCTGAAGTCATCGTCCACCAAACACTAGCGCCCCCCCCAGCCCAGTTTAAACCTAAACATTTTTATTCTTACTGCAGCAGTTAAACGTTACTCTTTAAGGACATTACACTCTGAAATTTGAAAAAGTCTCCCAGCTGAGGCTTCCATTTCTGCTTTTGTTTTCACCGCCGTGCACCCGTCCACGGTGGATTCTGGGATATGTTAGTTTGCGGAGGTGAAAATTACGACGCATTTACAGGATGCTTTCTTGGCCCTAACAAATCAGAACAGGTCTGTGTGGCCGACGGTGGCTGGGTACGATGCAGTTTAACAAAGAGCAGTGGGGGAAAAAAAAAAGCAGCCTCTTGTTCTGTGAGAGTGTGGTGTGTGTTTGACCGGCCGGCCTGCAGTCCAGATCCACCTTCACTTAACCATGTGGGCTGCATGTTGAAAAGGAGAAAACAGGTCTGAAATTAATCTTTTTTTTTTTCATCCAAAGTTATCTCGCCTCTGTGCGTATTCTTTTACAATAAGTTGATGTTAAACAAAGTGTTGGTCAGTGAATTCACCGACGGCGTTTCCTTTGTCCTCAACTGTCAAGTCCAGGTTCCAGTGCATTACCTCACGGCAGTACTTTTGACATGGTGCGTGTGTACCACCTTTTCTGTAAATGGGATTAGTAGATGAAGGCGGTCACTTGTGTTGTGAATACATCTGACCATCGGTGTGTTTGACTCACGGCCCACGTTTCTGTGTTCGTCACTGAGTTTTTTTTTTTTGTAATCCATTAATACAGAGTGAGGCTGCAGTCAAGTCTGAGATACATATGTTTCATATTGTTTTGTGTGGCCACATATTTTTCTCAAGTCTTTTCTTTATTTTTTTCCCCCGGTCTGTCAGGCGAGCACGAGACCTGAGAACGCTGTTCGCAGTTCTTCAAGGCGCTCCCCAACAAGCGAGACACGGGGAAGCAGACTTTTAGATGTGCTGGTGTTGGATGGGTAGACTGCACTGCAGTTTGTATCTGTGTCATTAGTCACAATGAGGAGCCGATACCTCAGTACTGCAGTATCAGTTTGGGGAGGTCGGAGAAACGTCTTGTATCTCAGAAGAGATGAGTCACGCGGCGGTCGAGACGGAGATGATGCGTCACCGCGGTGTAGTTTCACATCTACTCTGTCTCTTGTCTGACGACCACACCGACCTTCATGACAATCACTCACACAAAGTGCACTTAAGTTGCCCTCTGCCTCGGGAGGGTGAGAACGACTTGAGTCTTAACCTCAGAGGACCAGTGTTTGTACCTGTGGATGAGAATTCCCGCATTCATGTTTTTAACCAGAAGAAGAAGAAGGGGGAAAAAAACCAGTGTCCCATTTTTGTATTGATGATGTTGTGTTTATTGTCAGTGTCAGGGTCGGACCAAAGGAGGAGATAGTTGAGAATCCACCCAGTGCAATTGGACACAGGTTAAGCACAACCAAAGTTTATGTGAACAATGTGCCGTCCATGGACTGGCATGGCTTTAGGAACTTCAAAGCCTTTGAAGAGTTTGTGAATGTTTCTTTCTTTCTTTCTTTCTTTCTTTTTTTGTCCAAACAGTCGAACGGCACCAAAAAGCACAGGATGCGAGCATAAACAAAATCATTTGTCAGAAAAGGGAAGAAAAAAAAAATTCCTGACAACTTCTATTTACACATCCAGATTGTGTCTTTGAAGTGCTCTCTGCGTGTCTAACACAATTGTGACGGTGCTATAGTGTTGTTTTTTTTTTCCTTAGCACAGTATGTTTGTTATTTTTTGTGTCACGATGTGTATGTACATGTCAAGTCTCTGTTAATCTGATGAAATGTGAAAGAGAAAAAAAGCAAAAGAATCGCTCTCAGCATCACGGCGGACGGTCCTATGGAGTCTGACACAGTTCACGTCTTAAAGGTTTTTACAGCACTTATTTTTGTATTTGATCTTAAAAGAAAGTACAAAGAGACCAAATGATCGGCTGGCGATCGGAGTCCAAAAAATGTTTCTTGAGTTTCTCACGGGGAGATGGGTTTAAAGTCTTAAAGTCCGATTACAACATCATGAAAGAACAGACATAAAAACCCCAGAATCCATGACGTACATGAAACGGCTCAGTGTGAAGTGTTCGGTCACTGAGTCAAATGTGAGGCGACAACCTTGAATCTCGGAGTCGGATTCTCTACATTTATAACCAGCAAACTGAACAGATAGTGTGCTCTGGGCTCCACTGAGCCACAGGTCTCCGTCTTTATCATCAGACTTTAATCAGTCGTCAAAGTCTCGTTCTAAACCTGTTTGTTGTTTCCACTGAAGTGAGATTTAATGGTCAGATGTTCGTCCAGAGCAAATCCCACAAACCAGTTGTTTAGAAGTTGGTGCTGGACTTCGATCGTGTCCTCATATCACAGCGTCCTACATGTAGGACGTTGTCTCTCTTTTTTATACTAGACCTAATCTTTTTAATTTTATCTGTACAGTGTATATACATTTTTTTTTTCCTCTGGTGTTTGTCGTTTTATACTTTTTGGTTTACAAAAATAAAGGTAAATTATCTAGACTGGAATGAAATGACTTTTTTTTAGGTTTTCAATTCTCCTGGTGAAGGTGTGAGCTTCACTCACTGATAAAATCACTGCGCTTCAGTACAGCAAACAAAAAAAGTATTTATTGTCTATAGGAAGTGACACGACAAAAGCGATGAACAGGAAATGAAAACAAGACAAAGAGGAACGACAGAAGTGACTTTAGACAAACGGTGGTTATAACTGAATACTTTACTGCTTCGTCTTTAATCTCTCACATTTCTCTATGATGTCCTTTTAGAAAATAGTTACAGCAAAGGGTTTTTTTTTAAAAAAAAATTCAAAACACAATTATTTTACACTCTCAGAGATAGTGTGATCAGTGGTACAGCCATTTTCACATAGACGAGTACGATTCAAGCCGACTATACTGCGTAAGCCTGGTTGGAATCAGACAGTGTGCATGCACCGAAATACACCTTCAATCCATCAAGCAAGCTCTGTCCAGTTACAACAGCATAAAAAACAAAATCTTAAAAAAATATCTGCGTTGGATTCCTCCAGCTCTCCTTTCGTCCCAGAGCCAAAAACATTAGCTTATTAACATTTTAGCTGTAAACATTCATTGGCTGTGACCGCCCTCTGACCACGGCTGTGCCGTTACCACCAGTCTCTCCGACAGTCGGTACGCTGGTTATCACGGTGGTTCCCAAAGGCACTCCGACCAGCAGCCATTTTGTTTCGTTGTCTTTGCAGGCCAGCTGTTTGTTTGTTTGTTTGTTTTTCTTTTTATAATATATTTTTTTACAAAAACTGTTCTCAACACTCGACTGCAATGTCTGTTTTCTCCCCGCTGGTGTTTCAGAAACACTCAGCGATAAGTCCTGTAGTGGAGAATGCTTCTCAGTGTCACCAGTCAAGCAACATGTCCAGAGGAAGAAGGAGGTTTTTTTTCTGTCAGGAAGATGAGGCAGAAACAGGAGTGGAGGGTGAGGATTTTTTTTTTCTTTCATTCGTTGGATTTCTGCAGAAATGAGAAAGATGGAGAAACGTCAGTTAAATCTGTCAGAACAGAGCAGAGTCAGTGTGAAGAGTGTAAACCACATGAAACTGGTGTTTTAGCAGTAGTAAAAAAAACTGCCTGAATAAACAAACATCATCTTAATTTCAGTGTTTTGTTGTTTAGACCGAAGACGTTTCCTGAAGACCTGTCACCAGATGAGGCGTGTCTGTAAATTTGATTTTAAAAAAAATCTCACAGGAAGTCACTTAAAAAAAAATGACCTTAAATTTGAGAGATGTAATCAACGTGATGAATAAAATACTGTAACTACTTAAAACTGACATTAAGAGCCTGGATATTTAAAAAAACAAAAGTCATAATTGTCAGATTACAGATTAGAAGTTAAGACAAAATATCACCAAAACAAAGTCTTGAGATTTTGAGGAAAAAACAATAAAATACTCAGAAAAGCCGTTAAACTAAATGAAACATTTATCATTTTTCAGAGTTTTGCAGAAAGATGGAACAGTTTCTGATCCTTTGACCTCAAATGTTCTCAGTAAGAACTTCCTCATCATAATTTCACACATTTCTTATATCATAACATTGACTTTCATATTTATTATTAAACACTTTTATTTAATTTTGATCAGAATATCTTGATTTTTGACATTACTTTCTTTTTTTCTAATGTTGAACAACAGCGTAACAGTTTATTATACAATACCGACTTTTACGTTTTTAAATCTTTCTCTTTAGCTTCAAGCCTTTTATATTATATGTCTGACTTTCAAAATATCTGTCGATTTTTAATGATAAATTAAAATGACGATTAATTTTAAACATTTATTTTATTTATTAATTATTAGCTGAACATTTATGTAAACATTGACTCGTGCAACAAAAAGTGTTACTTTTCAAATCCTAATTCTCAGACTTTTCTTATTTGCATTCATGGCCTTTCCATTTTTCATTGATTTTGATTTAATTGCAGAATTTTTGTTTAGCTCAAAATTTTTCTGTCTGTTACGTCATTTTTCCATTTAAAATGTATCGATATAATGTTCTACACTTTCACTTATAGAAACAGCCCGAAATATATTCAGACACAGAGAAGAGATACAGTCTCTCTCTCTCTTTTTTACCTTTTAAAAACAGGAAGTTGTTTTTGGGAAGAACAGTTAAAAGTGTGATAAACAGAGACGTTCTGAACGGTGAAGTCCAGCATTTGGTTTTACATTTATCTTCAGTCTGTTTACATTTAGAACTGTCCTTGTTTTATTAGTGGTGACAGTGCCTGCGATTTCTGCTTGGATTGGGCTTTTGTGTGTGTGTGTGTGTGTGTGTGTGTGTGTGTGTTTGACAGATCCTGATGCTGCTCAGTCACTCAGCCTATTACTGCCTACGTGTCAGTTCACTGATCCCTCCTCAGCTCTCTGTCCCAGCAGGGCCACAAACTCCTCAACACTTCACACACACGTTCTTACATAAAAAGCTCTTCCACCTGCACCCGGTTCAAAGATCTGCCCTGAGAAAAACTGGAGCGAATCTCAGAAGCCACAAGTTTGGGATAAGAACGTTTTCAGAAACGCAGATGAGCCGCAGACGACTTTACATCTGGAACCAAATGGGTTCAGAGTGAAGGCCAGAGATTTGATATGTGCAGAAGAGTTTCCAACAGCTGATCGGTCCAAACTGTAAAACACACACACGCATGGGCACGCACACACACGGAGGACAGAGCCAGCGGTTCGGACAGAGTGACAGACATTTTGATTGTAGTGTAAACAGCAGGGAGAGGGCTGTTTGCTCATTTTCCAATTCAAACAAAACAGTTCTCTGAGTCTGACAGTGGGATGGTGAGCCAGAGACACAAACGTCCTGGGACTATACATATGTATGTGTGTGTGTGTGTGTGTGTGTGAAGTACAGAGATGTTTGGGACTGTTTTTACTCTAACACTACAAAAAATATTTGCTGTTTTTAGATACAATTCTTTTTTCTTTCATGAGTCACTGAAAAAAAAAGATTTTCCTTTAGTTGACCTTAAATATGAATCACATTCTCAGAAAATGATTAATTATTGTATTCTGAGTCAGTATTAAAAAAATCAAATAACATTAGAAATCAAATTAGGAAAAAGCACTCTAAAACTAGACTGAGGTTGTAAAGCTCCATGTGTGTGACTTGATTTTTTTTTTCTGGGGAAAAAAAAAAAAACCCTCACACACGCCTGCTTCGACCTCTTTGAAGTTGTCTGGACTTTTTCAATCTCCACCTCCCTGCTCCACATCAGGCCTGGAGCAGTCGGTGCAGTTTTAGCCCCTGCAGAGTTGATGACAGAAGGCCTGGCAGACATGGTGGCAGGTAGAAACTGCTGCGCTGCGTTCAAGGACCCAACAGTCCACGACGTGTGTTTTAAAAAAGCCACTGGAGGTTAATAATAATAAGGCAGAGTGGAACACCTGCAGTGTGCACATGGCCACTGGCTGCATGTACTGTAAGTGTGTGTGTGTGTGTGTGTGTGTGTGTGTGTGTGTGTGTGCAGTGACTGTAATCATCAGTGTGGCTGCTAATAGTTCCGTGTCATTCTATGTATTTTCTGCAAGAGATTTATCAGCGACCAGGCTTCCGTGTCTGGTTATTTTCCGACTGGCTGCTCCGTACTCCGTACTTTAAATTCCTAAAACTTGTATTTCGTTGTTTTCCTCCAAATTCCCTCCGACTTTATGAAACCAGAACGGATGAAGGAGATAAAAATCACAGGAACAACAACTGTAAGCCTATTCCTGTTTACTAATCTGCAGATGTGCAGAAGGTAATTAAAGAACCAAACACACACACACACACACACATGCGCACACACATACACATGTACAGGCACTGACAGGCCCATGTGCCTGACCCCAACCCTGGTACACACACCTTCCTAATACCACACAACTGTTTCCAATCTAAAGGTTCCTGCTTGTCTGGGCCCCGGCGGGGCCTGATTGCACGATACAAGAATCCTGAGAGGGAGAGAGAGAGAGGGGGAGAGACAGAGAGAGAGAGAGGGAGAGAGAGGAATTGTGTCCACTTTTTTCACTCTCTCTTTCTTTCCTTCCGTCCATGCTTTACCTGATCAGTAATCTGCACAGCAACAGAACTGAAGCCAAACTGAGGAAAATCCCAAACTTTTTTTTCAGACTCACAGTTCCTCACAGTTCACATCACCGTTCTGTCAAACACAAAAGCCGAGGCCTTCTGCGATAAAACTAACATTTCCTCGTAGTTTACTTCAGTTAACGAAGAGTCGCTCAGATCAACTTTGATCTGGATCTTTGCTCGTGTTACACGTGTGTGTGTGTGTGTTTGCTGCAGTAACTCTGCTGCTCACAGCAGCTCCCGCCGTTCTTCTCAATGTTTTAAATGCAAAAAAATATATTTAAACCAATGCAGAAATCCTCACTTATAACAATTGTTTTCACTGGAATTAAAAAAAAAACATTTTTACATTAACTTTTTTTTATCCAAGGAATGATGATATTTTTATGTGCTCTCTGTTCTGTCTAAAAACACATGAGCGAAAGCCATAACATCAGTGTTTCTGCAGACAGTTCTGCAGGTTTTATTTTTGGATCGTTTGGAGATAGCTCTGTGAACAGGCAAGGATCCTGTATTTATATTTAAAATACAACACTCTACACAGACTAATTTAATCTATATTTATATCATTTAATATATATGTTCCTTTTTTCAGTTTACGTATGAAAAAAAATCTCTTGTTTTTTGAATTGGGTTTTTAATTATTTTGTGCTCTTTGAAATGTGTCCATTTTGATGCATTTTTTAATTAGATTTTTTTTTTATATTTGTTATTTATTGTTTTTTTTTTTCTTTTTTTTTGCGTCAGCTTCCTAAATTGAGAAGACGTAGGTAAACAGATCAAATGTTCGTTCCACCCCTGATGCAATTGTTTTTCCTGTGGTTTTCATGTTTGTTGGTTTTTGTTTTTTTTGGTTTTGTGTTATGATACTGCAAAAAATAAAAATAGTAGCGACAGTGTGAGTGTGTGTGAGTGTATACTCAATATTCAAATTGATTTTTGGATGTAAGCTTTAACATTTGTTTCAGTCTGCTGGTAAACGTGTGTGTGTGTGAGTGTGTGGATGTGTTTGTGTGTATTTGTTGTCCTCATACCTGTTGGGCTGTACTGGAGCGTCCGGTTGCGTAGGCCTAAATTGTGGGACTGAAAAGAGGAAACAGAGCGGAATAAAAAAGTAAAGTGAAGGTCGGAGGTTGAACAACAAAGGTTCATGGGAGAAGAAGTGACTAGAACTGAAGTGAGAGAGAAAAGAATTCAGAAGTGCACAGTTCAGGAAATGGGTGCAAACACAGTCAGAGGTGATGGAGTTTGAGGGGAGCGGGGGTGGGGGGGGCGATAAGGACATGAGAAGACTGAGGAGAAACATTCAGGGGGGGTTGATTCTAGTGGCTGGTGGACATGGCCCAGGCTCCTTCCATCCTCCAGACAGAGAAGGCGTAGCTGAGTCTTTCGTGAGCCAGGTAGTTGCAGCTGGCCAGCTTTGCGTCCATCTCGTCGCTCTGCAGCACCTGGTAGAGGAAGTCGATGTAGCGCGAGGCCAGTTTCAGGATCTGGATCTTGCTCAGCTTGTCCGAAGGGAGCGTGGGGATGATCTTGCGTAGAGAGGCGAAGGCGTCGTTCAGGGACTGAGTGCGTTGACGCTCCCGCACGTTGGCTATGACACGCTGTGAGTGGAGGTCCTCGAAAGGCTGGTCCGGCCTGGGGCCGAGAGACGTCGGGGCCAAGGACACCACCGTGGAGGGGCTTTTCTTCAACCGCTTGGGTCCCGTGGGCAGCAGGCTGTTGGGGCTGTCGCTGCTGTTCTCCTCCGCCTGAGCCACACTGTCCTTCTTGGGGTACGGTGAACGCTTTCTGTTTCCTGCGTGAATAATCTTCTTTGTTCCTCTCTCCAGTTCTTCTTCGCTGGCTCCCATCCCTCCCTCAGGTGAGTTGGTGCAGGACACCTCTTCTCTCATTGTATTGTCCACCAAAGACCTTCGCAATCCACTCCAGAACCCCGGGGATGCAGTAAAGCTGGGCTTTCGCTCTTCTGTGTCCGCAGATGATTTGAACAAACCTGAGCGTGACGGGAATGACGAGACAGTTACAGCTGCCGGAGCTCCATCCAGCTGGACATCGGTTCGGTTGTCCTGTTTCCAAGTTGACCTTGTTGGATTTCTGGCTTTCACATTTTCCTTCAACCTGGCAGAGAGTATAACAACAAACCTTCTGACAGGCAGGTCCACCTCTACCTCTTTTATACCCAAACACTAACTTCGGCGCCTGTGCGATCTTCTCATTGGTTCTCAGAACATCCTGAGGGCGAGGTCTTCGACTCGAAGAAGGCAGGAAAGCAGGAAGTGAACTTTTGCTGGGCGGGCGAAAGAAACAGGGGGTAAGTGGCGCTCTCAGCCAATAAGAAGCGCGGTGTCTAATGTTGCAGGGATGTCTGAAGCTTTATGGGTTCCAGATTGGGGCTGCAGCGTCAGTCCACATGCAGCCCTGTGTCTGCCTTTTTGTTCATTAACACAACGTCAGGATTAGGAAACGGTGGATTTTCGACGACAGTCTATTCTAGATCGTAGTTGTGCAGCGCTTCTTTAGTGGCAGCTTCAGTTGTAGTCTTTTTGAACCTGCTTTTCTATTTTTTTACCATCAACCGACCTACGTTGTAAATGTAGCATTGAGTGATTTCAGTTTTTCCTTCGACATGAGTTTACACTTACAGCGACCATGACTTTTCCTGAGGTTGTAAACAGACGCTAACGCACACGCCTGTTAACTCACAAAAACAGTAGAAAAGCAAGTTTCATAATCATCGGCATACAGGAGGATTCCTGGTTCAAATGGCAGCTGTAGTATCTTTATAAATAACATGGTCGAGAAATATTTCCATTTTCCATAAGTCTGTTTGTCTGCAGCGGCATGAGAGAGTGGTTTCATCTGAATGAATCAGAGCTCGACCTACTAACACCTGAGAAATCAGAAAAGTGTTCTTCACAATTAAACTGCTTCCCTCTGCATTAGGATGAGGCTGGGAGTGCAGACGAGACCCCGAATAACCCCTGACCTCTGTGGCCCGGTGACCTCAGACTGCAGAGGTGAGGGAGCACCTAATTTTGCTATCCATGTCCCGGAGGCAGAGTCGACACATGTTCCACCTTGGTGTAGCGTCTGCATTTACTTAAACAAATTTTCTTCACGTTTGCAGTCGTGACGCGGCAGGAACGTTCCTCCTGTTAGAAAATGACAGCGACAGCAGAGACAGACCTCGACAGGAGACGCCGAGGCAGAACTACAGATACAGTAGTGAAACAGTGAGTAAGTCTTACGTCAATCCACCTCAGAATCCCAGCTTCCCAGCACTGCGTCTGTTTACACCTCCATGCGTCACCGTGACTCAGTGCGGAGGAACCAGGATTTTCCGTTTCTGTGTTCTGTAGAAAGCCTGTACTTTTTGATGACAGCGTTGTGAGTGACATTTCAACACCTCTGGATCTTCATGCTAATGTGAATCACTCGCATAGCTACACATCGTGTCCACAGAAGAGGGGGCGCTTCCTAGAAATTGAACAATGACTTTTTATCGACATGACCAGAAAAATGATTTCTGTTGCACTTAAACTAATTTAGCAATTGTTTCCCGCAGTACATTCCAAAGAATTACACCGTTTAAAGTCGAACACTGTGGGCCTCCCTCCAAAGAAAACTGCCCCACCCCCTTTCCCCAAATCCTCACACACCTCATACACATACTTTTACACACAAGCACACACACATGCAGGAAAACACTGTGGCAAATCACCATATTTATTATGAGTCGTATTATCAGTTGGGGTTTCGAGTTACAGAAACAACTTAGAAAGTTTTAATTTTTGAAAACAATTACAAAAGGATGTTTTCCAACAGCAGAACATAAAAATCCACATTAGCTAAATTTCCCTTTGATACCACTGATACATCCCTTCTCATGTTAGCTTTAGCTCAGATGTTGCGCTGCAGCCGTGTTGAAGAACTGAAAATACTGAAAATAAGAGTTAACGTTTTCTTGTGGAATTTTCATTTTACTACAAGCAGTTAAACTGCTCAGAGGGTCGGGCTCATAACCGTCTGATTTTCCTGTGTGTAACATATTTTTTTTCCAGGAATCATATCAGTACTGCAAAAACATGTACCCTAGTCTGTCTTTTGTCATTTTTTGCCGACGGCTGTAACTGTCCCACTAAAAACAAAAGATTTTTGAGAATCAGGTGTTTTCTCTAAAATTTAAAAATGTTTCCCTCCGCTTTCTTGGTATATATATATATATATATATATATATATATATATACACAAAAATATATACAGATCCCCATACAATGGCTGCTAATACACATCCAGAGAGGTTGATGTAACATGGCAGTTTTCATGCAATGCTACCACAGTTTCAAGGTCACCACACATTCAGCAGCAGTTTCCATCTTTAGTCACACCTGGTCTACATCTTGCCTAAAATAATCAGCTGATCAACGGTGTTGAGATGATTGATTGTTGTTTGGCTCTCACCTCTCTGCACATCCTCATTAGCAGCAACGTATTGACGCAGTGAGGCGGATTTCTAAAAAACACTGTCTGTGTTTACCAACAGTTACTCAATGTGTTGTGACAAAACCTTGAATCATTCTGAAAGAGCTGCTTGACAGCGTCTAACTAACAATTTGGGTGTGATTGCCGCTGCGTTACAGGGGACAGATGTGCTGAGAGCAGTTCAGAAGATTTTTGATGAGCCCCATGATTGCACTGGTTTACATTTCATTCTGAGAGTTTCAATAAATGGAAAGTAGCCCCTTCCCAGTTGGGTTCAATCAACTTAAAAGAAGAGAAGTCATCTGGCCTTCAAAGCGAGGACAGTGAGTTATCCGTGGTTGTATTTTCATAACGGGCCAGGTCGGCTCCAGGATGAGCTGGTATTAGAAGCAGGGTTTATTGAAGCTGCGATGAAGACGGTTCAGGGACAGGAGAGTCGTTTTTTTGGTTGTGGCTAATCCCCGCAGCGGCAGCTTACCTTTATGTAAAGCGTGGCTGTGTGCCACTGCCACGGAAAAAATGAGCTAACAAAGCGAATAGTCCAACAGGAATGTCGTGGCACGGCCGAGAACAGATTAGGAGAAGAAAGAGGGAGAAGGAGAAGAATAGGAAAAAGGGAAAATAAAAGGAGAAGAAAGCAGAGGGAGTACGGGGGAGGTGGGGCGGGGGGGTGAAGTGAGGCTGTCCAAACAGAACCAGATGCAGGAGTGTGGAGGCCCGTTTGATCTCTGTCCTCATAGGCTGATTGATGTTGCACATTTCATTTCCTTGTCAGAGTCTTGACATAATGTTTCACTAAACACTCAGGTCCCGCTCTCCTCTAGGTTTTATTTCCACGGGGGTCATAATTAACCCCTTTTTTGGAGATGAAAAAAAGATGACACACATATCAGTATATAACAATATATAGGCTTACACGCACACACACATGGGAGTTGGATATCAAAGAACGGCCGACGTATTATCTATTTCTGTCTCCGCACCATATGGTTCGGTCCTGAGTGAAATACGGCCCAGAGGAGCAGCCACGTTGAAACTTTGAAGTTTTTTTTTTTTTTTTTAAACCGAAACCAGTTCGTAATGCAGTCAGTTCAATTACAGTCATACGCCAAAAGGTCGGAGCGGAGCAGTGACGTACTCAGCTGGTGGGAGCGCACCGGTGTGACCAATCATAAGTGATGTGTTTGGAAATCCACACTGGCTCAACAAAAGGAACCAATCATAGAATTCCTCCTCACCTTCACCCTGGGAGTTTCTTCACCCTCCTGGCTGCTGTGAGTGTTGCCCATGCACACAGCACATTGCACCCACCGCCCCACTCTCCCCCCTCACCCCCCCCTTTATCGTGCCCATCCTTCCACTGCTCCATCCCTCCCGAGGAGCGCATATAGTGGCACAAAGGCAAACATCTGGGACCCATTTCCCCCCTGGAGAAGCTCTTCCTGTGGGGTATCCACTTAGAGGGGCTCAGGAGGGGTGGGGCGGGAGTGGGATGAAGGTATACAGCGGTGATAGAACTAGGCGGAATGGAGGGAACTTCGTGCCAACTAATAATGAAGGTAATTTTTTGTTATTATTAATGTGGACCAAGAGTTAAATGTGAGTAAAAAAAGAAGAATCAAAGTCTTCCTTTTTCTTGATGTGAAACAGATCAAATTCAAGGGAAAGTACTGAGACAGGATTTAACAATTACAGGACTCTTAGGGTTAAATCTCGCTTGATTAACTTAGCTTAGCACAAAGACAGTGTCGCAGTGAAACAGACATTCAGGATTTACCTGAAAGAGACGACGCAGAGACGACCAGAAAAATTCATTTCACTATAAAAAAACGTCCTTATATTGATCATAGATATTTCCAAAATCAATTCCAGAAAAATTCATTTCACTATAAAAAAAACGTCCTTATATCGATCATAGATATTTCCAAAATCAACAATTTTCTACTTTTCTACTTCAAACAGATCTTTATTTACGTTGATCATCATATCAACATCATATTTTATTTCATCAAACCTTATTAGACAGGAAAATCCTGGATAAATACAGGTTTTTCAATAGTTTTTCAAGGGAATGAATTCCAGGTTCCAGGGTTAAAACACAAAAGTAAACACGTAAACACATTATGAAAAACGAGCACATGTAGTGGACTGAACTTCAAGTAATTTTATTTGAAATTTGCTTCATATGAATAAACTCCTATTCAGCGTATTTAGCTCAGTGCGAACAGTGACTGTAACATGTTCAAAAATGTTGAATGAACGGACGATAGAAGTGACAGAAGTCCAGGATTTATCCAGTCATCGTCTGCAGCTAAAAATATCGCATTAAGGTTCATGCAGACGGGATTAAACTCCTCAGACAGAATGTTCTGCTGAATGTGCTCCAGACATCTTTAATTCAATTTAAGTGATGGATTTTTTAATGCACAGAGTGAGCCACACATCAAGCAGATTTGACATCAGTTTGTCACGTCCTGGTGGGCCTCAATAATGTGACAAACCATCCCTTGAAGACCAACTCTTTGATACCATTATAAATATGTAATATGTAGAAAAATCATATGCATGATCAAATATCATATTTAGCTCTAACTTTATTTTTAGAAAGCGTACCTTCTTTTCTCCCAGCTGGGTTTGTATCTTTTCAACCGCATTTGGAATTTTTGGGTAAAAGATGCCTTGAACAAATCCATCTTTTTTTTTTTCATTCAATTATCTGTTTTTATCGTGGCCTGTATCTAATTCATTTTGTCCCCGTCCAGGAATTTTACTCCTAAACCTGTTTTGATGTGCAAGGCCAGCCAGTCAGCAGAGTCGTTGGCTCGCAGCGCTGGCAAATATAGGCCCGAGTAATAGGCAGGAGCAGGAGTTTTTGTGCTAGGTTATTGTTCCCAGAAGTGACCGTCGCTGCCTGGGACGATGCTGAAGGTAGTCAGCCATTTAACAAGTGTATTAACAGCCATTTTCATAGGAACAATTTCAAACATTGATTGTTTTTGATTCTGAGGCATTCTGACGAAGGTACAAATGTGTAGTAAATTTTGAAGTGACCAACACATGAATACATTTAAATTAATACAGTACGATATTGTACAATAATAATTGTATTCATGAAAAATCTAAAAAAAAAGAATTAAAAAAAGAGCTGCTTTTAACTGTTCAGATTGACCCAAGGTGTTTAAAAAACAACAGGATCTAGAATATGTGCCAATTTAAATTC